GTGTATCATTGTGCAAAGCATTCTAACCTGACTGTAAGCCAAACAAGTAAACGTGTTACAAAGAAGAAAAAGATGAACATACTTGGTGGTGTCTGCAGGCTGTGGTGTGAAGTTTCCTTCTGAGTCCATAGATGACTGTTTCTCCATCATGGCCATGTAGTTGGACTCCATATACTCTGGAGGAAGAGCTCCAGCCACAGCACTAAGACACGGCAGCGCCAGTTTAAATAGCTCCTGGTCGTACTGCTACATTACAACACATACACAGTATGTAAGTGTGTTGCTTCATACATTATTGAACATTGAAGGCTGTCTGTTTATCATTTGTTTAAAGCAAATAAACTTGGGGAATATTCAGAATCTGTCATGAGGGTGAAGTGAGGGTTGAAATAGAGAACTCCAAAGCAGGCACAGCAGATAAATTATGAGTGTTATTAAACAGTGAGTCCAAACAAAAGGCAGAAATCTATCCAGCGAAGATTAGAGAAACATAGGGAGAAGAGACGGGCAGGAGTGGGTAACCTTGTCTCCCTTGCTCCCTGCCTCCTCTTTCCCAATGGGCTTTACTTGGAGGATGAGAGGGATGCTTCCCCGCACCTTTTGGTCCTGATTGGTGTTTTTTTGCTAATGTGCATAATGAGAGGCCCAACATCCTTTTGGAATCATTGGGTGGTGTACGCACCATCTAGGGACTCTATGGTGTTGCTGGTAGTAGGCAATGACGGTATAACTTGGAGAAGAGTGAGTGGGAGTGATAGCCTTGTTATGCTTGTCCATAGAAGTGCGGCTCGTGTGCATTCTTTGAGCTACCACTAGATGAGCCTCACCTTGTGGGACAGGGCATCAAATATTCCCCAGAACATTTTCCTAGAGAGGTGCAGCTCTTCATCTGATGCTACTCCAAAATTGCCCCAACCTCCAGCCAAACAGTAGTACTTCCAGCAACGCTCGTAGTGATTGGTCAACAGCTGAGAAGTCAAAAGCACATTAATTACCAGTCAATACATGACTGAAGCCAAATGAGTAAGTAAGGTGTTACTGTAATTCAATCATATTTTCCCATAACAACTTAATGCACTTAATCAGTCACAACATTAGTTACTAACCAAACAATTATACTGTTATTTGTGTTTCACGGATTTTACAGTTTTTCCACAAAGGGCTGGTGCGCATATTTTATAAATCTAATGGTAATTCGGTGTGTGCATTTGTTTTTTTTGCACTGGGTAAGAACATTTCTATGCTTCATCTGTGTGTTTTCAGTGGGAGAAACATCATCCGTGTGACGTCTTCAGTCTCAGCTGACTGCAGGTTTCCCCAACCTTATAAATATTTGCATAATGACTGAAACTTGCACCACTGAATGAACAATGACCAGTCAAGGAGGTCATTTACATAAAAAGGGAAAGACCATCTCTAAATCGAGGAGGGGGCCTAAGGGTACATCTGTGGCCATCTTACAACTGTCTGTGAATGGGACTCATGGTTGTTGATCAATGAGCTTTGATCAGTGGTTGTTGATCGATGGCCCTGAGAATTTGCATATTAAGGATCAAGGAACTGACCTTTCAGCCCATTGTTCCTTCAGTGGTGCTAGTTTCAGTCATTGTGCAAATTTACTGTTTATAATGTTGGGGAAACCTGCAGTCAGCTGTGTGTGAAGATGAACTGAATCAACCTTTTGGCATATTGATGAATGTTCCCCACTGCATGTATAAAAATACACACAGTTGAATGGTAATTATGTGTAATTATCGGAAGTGCCTCAATTCTATGCTTTATATGAACTAAAATGCCATATAACCATTTAGTGTAGTATTAAGTGGACACGCCCTGAAAAATAAAGGCATTAGACTACGTGTCCTTGGGGGGTAGAATGCTGTAGACTCTCGCTCACGCTTGCCTGGGAGAAAGTAGATAACAGGGGACCATCTTCTAGTGGAAAGTTACTGAAACATGGTTGTTTTGACTAGAATGAGAGAGCTGGTAATAATAATAGATTGCATTTATATAGCGCTTTTCAAGACCCTCAAAGCACTTTACAATTCCACTATTCATTCACACACTGGTGGAGGCAGCTACGGTTGTAGCCACAGCTGCCCTGGGGCAGACTGACAGAAGCGAGGCTGCCATATCGCGCCATCGGCCCCTCTGGCCATCACCAGTAGGCGGTAGGGTAAAGTGTCTTGCCCAAGGACACAACGAACAGGACAGAGAGCCCAGGGATCGAACCGGCGAACTTCTGGTTACAGATACGCTTCCCAAATAGATTGCATTTTTAGACAACAACCTGAACACTGATTCCTATACATGCAAACTTTGTTTCTCACCTTTAGAGGCATCTTGGTGTGCTCATTAAGTAGAGGAACATCAAACACCAGCCTCCTGAGTAGGTGCTGCATCATTGAAGGCCTTAGCTTACTGTACGTTAAGAGGATACCATACGTTAGTGGAATGAACCATCGCTGATCAAGAATACAATCAAATACGATCTATAGCATGTTTTTTTAAAAAAGGGTAAACTAAATGCTAAATACTCATTAAAGGTTGACTCATATGTACATGTATGTCTTCATCTTACCCACAAACAGCAAGCAGACACTCCTCTATGGAGTCCCTCTGAGCTTTGGTGAGGCAGCAGCCTTTGGACAGGCGATAAACCGTATGAAGCAGGGAGTCAATTAGTGAGGCGAACGGCTCCGTCCCCGCAAACAGTGGCGCACATTTAGTCAGGAGAGGCAGCACTGCTGTACACAGATACCTGTTGAGTGCCAGTGCCATGTCTGTGGCACTCAGCGCAACCTAACACAAAGAAGGAGAGAGAAACAATAACAATGTAATAGAGAAACTACATGTGTGGCATGTACGTATGTTTTTATACCTCTGGGGGAATACTATACACAGTGAATGAAATGCGTAGTTGTGGCAGTAAGAAACAATATCAAAGGCTAAGTGTCATGTTCCCTGGGCCTTGGACCTATGGGCTTTGAGTTTTCTGGAGTTTTTCTGTTTTTTAGTAGTGATTAACTTTCTATTTTGGTTCTATTTTCTGTTGTGTTGACATTTATCCTTCTGTTGTTGGTTTCCTTGTTTATTGCTGGCTCCCTGTTTTTTGTGTGTGGTTCAGTCTTGACTCCTTGTTAGTTTACCTTTCCGTCTGTTTGTCAAATCTGTATTTCTGTTCCTGAAGAGAAAGAAAAGATGTATACACACAGACAGAAACTTACAGTGTCCAGAGAGGCAGCAGACCTCAGGTCTGGTAAGAACCCAACCTCCAGAAGGTGGAGAAGAAAATTCTGGTCTTCTATACCATAGACACGGTCCAGGAACAGCACCATGGCTGCTTTGTGGTCTGGGCAGAAACCTGCTGACATGTCTGGCTCCACAACCAACCCATCTGTACATGCACGCAAACACAATTCAATTCTTGATTGCTGATATTACAGGATCAGTTACTGTTATTACTGGATTAGATGTCATCATGTCAGATGACTTTCTTACCTTTAGCCAGGTTAGGCATAGAGAATGAAATACTGATGACTCCCACCAAGTCTTCAATAGGAATAAGAGACCTCAAAATCGCTCTGATACGGATAGCTTCACCTTTACCAGCATGGATCAGCTAATAGAAAAGAGGTAGGGCTTAAGTGAGTGCACAATATACGTAATGCTGCATGTCGGAGTTGTGTATTTTGAATCGCTGGTACTCCACTTCAAGGCCAGCCAGCACGGAGCCCGTAAGACCACACATACGGCCAACGACAACTCTCATTATCAGTGACTCAATAATCCAAAATATTAAAACAAGCTCAGTCACAAACCCCTCTTACCTGGGAGCTATTGTCTGAGACATAGAGGATAAAGCTACTGGAATTCTTGCTTCCGGGCAATCTAAAAGTCTCTGTGCATGCAGGAGCTAACAATATCTGCAAACAACAACTACAGCTACTCAAAAGAGACTTTGAAAACACATTCTGCTCACTAAAGAGACATGTCGAGCACATTTTTAATCTGTTTGTGAACACAGTCAGCTATTCAGACACGATGCAAATGAAGTCGGAAGAAAACTTCTCTCCTCAAATATTTCCTAAGGCATTTTCCAGTCAGGTGCTCTAATTGGAGTTAGGACCCTGTATAGGCGTATGATTCTTGCTTCGGGTGCGAGAGGTCCCGGGTTCAGATCCCGGACGAGCCCCCAATTAATGTTACGTTCTTAGTTTAGGCGAGTATTGAACGCAACAAGAAGTTGGCCCACTCACATACCACCCAAGCAAGAACACAAACAACAATATCTTTTTAAAGTGCTAAGCAGCCATTTATTTTCTTCAGCAGTGAGCAGTGCCAAAAATAACAAACAAAACTCCCTAATGGTCCCTACGCTTTCCTACACAAAATGAAAACCAAACAAAAGACAATTCACTTACCTAACTTCCTAAATGAAAAACAGGAGAAAACGTAATCAACAAAAATGGCTTCTCACGCTTACTAGGCTGCTGCAATGAAGGATATATACAAGGTGAACAAAATAACATAAACATTTTCCAGTCAGGTGCTCTAATTGGAGTTAGGACCCAGTATAAATAGGTCATTGACGAGGACGACATAGACAAAACAGAGACAGCTGAACAAACGCACGTGTACAGTACAAAGTAACTCACATGCATCTCTGGAGCACAGCGGCCCAGCAGGTCAATGAGAGCAGAGTAGAAGGTCATGATGGCATTTCCCATGTGAATTGTATCATCTTCCTCTTCCCCTGGCATGTCACTGCTACACACGGACACACAGCGACACACTCTCATATTAAATGCCCCTAAATACTTCAGATCATTTTCTTCTGACCTGTTATGCTCATTTCCCACTGTGTGCTTGTACTGTAGTTACTCATGAACTCAGGTTAGTGACAAGATAATCGGTTCAGGCTGATGTTTGTCTGAAATTGTTCTTTTCTAACTGGAAAACACAGGAAGAGATCATCTGCTTGAACATTGTTAGTACTGGAAATATGACACGTAGTTTAGGAAGTTACCAAAAGGTGTGCCGAAGGAAAATAGTGCGCTCAAAGTCATATCCAACTGAACCCTGGGATTTTGTGACAGGCATTCATAACTATTCAATATATACATCTGCACAACAAATAATTGCTATGAGTCAGCATTTTGTATGCCCTAATTTCCAAAACAGAAGCAAATTCTAGATCTTAAGAAAATCCCTTAACATCTAACAGGTTGTTGACAAGCCATCTAGACTTGTAGATTCATGTACAGACCTTTGTAAGGAAT